GTCTATATTTGAAAGTTTGGAGATCAATTCTAGGTTATCAGACTTGCAAAAGAAGGTAACTGAAGTAAGGGGTGAGATGACTTCTGTGGCTGACGTGTGCGATGTGGCGGAAGTTAAAGTTGAGATTGCTGAATTAAGGAACGATGTGGCTCAGGTGGAGGAATTGCAAAATGAGGTTTATCACCTGAGGAGCAAGATGGCTGAAATGAGAAGAGAGATGGCCGAGACTGCTCAGGTAGGTGAATTGCAAAATGAGATATATCAACTGAAGAGCAAGATGGCTGAAATGAGAAGAGAGATGGCTGAGACTAGAAGGATGTTTGCTGAGATGAGGAGGTTTCGGGATGAAATGCACGTTCGCAAAAAGAGGCGCTAATATGGGTATTAGAGCTCTCTGGCTTGGTAAGTCACCATCTATGTGAATTATTTAAGTGTTTGTAAATGGCTAATATTGATTGATATGGGTAAATTTCAAAATTTAGCATAAACTTTGGGAGTTTTTGCACAAACTACCATTATAAGCCTTATTTATTAGAGACAACGACAATGTACTTCCAAAACTACAGAAACATACCATGAATTATTGGAAATTGTTGGGAACTGCTTTAGGTTCTTGGCTAAAAGTTCTAAACTAAGCCTTATGTATATAACCTAATATGACAAGGATACCCATCACTCTCGTATACCAACCCACGAAGTTTATGAAGATAATGGAGAAAATATAGAAAGTACAGAAGGCAAAATTCTCTATAGCATGCACATGACAACTTACCCTAATTGCTGCCATCTGTGGTAGTTTAGGGAAAACAATTTATGGTGGTGGTCTTTAATGTAGGAGATTAATGGTAGTTTTGTGCAAAACACGCCAAAAATTCACCATAGTTCTCTGAAATCTAACTTTTTTTGTCCCCTTTTGTTATACTTGTATGTTAAAGTTAAAACACAATCCAGAACTCAAACCAAGTGACAGCGAAATGCCATGGATGGCTAAAACTGAAATATTGAGGCATGCATTGGCATCGGTGGTAGATTGAGAGCTAAACTACACTAAGTAAATTAATCAAAAGCATAGGAAATGAACACGATCATATAACGTATACATCACTTTGATGAATCAAGGTCTTGGTTGTGTCTCAATTGGTGTTTGGTAAAATGTTTTGGATCATTCTTTTATTTAGAACTACATTTTGAGTTTAAAGAAATGAGTGTAGTACCTACTAAATGTTAGACCCTAATGCCACTAGGAAAGAAGTAAGAACCCTAGAAAGGGGTGAATAAAGTTTATGCTAATCTAATCCGATATTAATGTCAATTAAAAACTAATTAACAATATATCCTAGCAATTATGAATATACAATAAGATATATGCAAGGATAAGTAATATAAACAAATGTGAAATAAACAAAAACAAACAAGAGTGATAGTGCGCAAATAAACCAACACAAACACAAGCAAATGATCATGGAGTTCGGTCCTTCCGACCTTCGTCTCCGCTCCCCACTCCCTGGGAGAAATCCACTAACACACCGGGTTTTCGACGCTCACCAGAAAACGTTTACACCTCACACTTGGTTTTCTAGCTTACCGAAAATTTTACAATCAACACTCTTGCAATCCCACTCTACACCCTCTAAGTGTTAGTCTCTAGCCCGTATCTCCCTCAAGTGCTCGGAATTACGACCTACATCTAGATTTTACTACTGACGTTACTCCTCTTTGGACAACCCCGTCTCTTGCCATACACCCCTCTCTGTGTACACGTGTATTACAAAGTGTATCCTCACAATTAGGCGCACAAGTACAAATGTTTGTCTTCTAACTAGATGAGAACTCAATTAAGGTTCACTCTCAATGTTATAATCCCACAACCCCAATATATATTATGTATGCAAATGCAATAAGCTTAATAGGTTGTGTGTGAACAATGAGTATAATCAAAACAAATCTAAACTCAATTATGAAAATCTAGCTTATAAAGATGATAATCAATAAACAATGTAAATACAAAGCTAGAAGTTGAGTTTAGAAAAACTTCTCTAAAATGACAAGAGTAAGAGAGATTAATTGAAGCTCAAACACCAAGAATTGATCTTCACTTCCTCTTGTGAAAATATCTTCACAAACCAAGCTTTAAACAAACTAAACAAACTTTAAACAATTGTTAAACATACTTAAACTCTTTTTAAAACTCTCTTGGTCTTTAAACAAACTAAACAAACTTTAAACAATTGTTAAACATACTTAAACTCTTTTTAAAACTCTCTTGGTAGGTAGGAATGATAAATGCAATGGGGATATTTATAGGCTTGAAGAAACCAGCCCAAAAACCAAGAAAATCCAGCAACATGATAAGAAAACAGAAAGCTGGAAAAAACTAGCCGTTGGGTCGTCAATCGATACAGTTCATCAGTTGACTGATGAGCTGACCGTTACATGTCAGAAACACGTCATCAGTTGACTGATGAGCTTCGTCAGTCGACCATTGACCTCATCAGTCGACTGATCAGTCGACTGAATAAGAAACAAAAACTTTCGACTATTCTAGGCGATTTCTTCAGTCGACTGAACACATGTATCAGTCGACTGATAACGTGTTATCAGCCTGTTTTGAATAGTAAAAACCAACTTTGAAGTGCCTTAAAAAATAAAAAATAAATTCCAAAAAATATAAAACTTTGGGAAAAGTTTATAAACATGAATATGAACATGTTGGAAAAGGAATTTTTTAATTTGCTCTTATCATTTGTGAAATCTCAAAAATATTCAAAAACACTAAAATTATATATGTGTGTGTATTGAGCTTAAAGAATTGCACACAATATATATAAACCTATACTAAGAATACCAAGATAGAATCTTCTGAAGTTTGAATTTGATTGGTTGACTTGATTTGCATAGGCTTCAATATCATTGTAGCTCATTTTCCTGTGTATACTAAACAACACAAAACAAAATACTAAAAACAATATTAGTCGTAAATTGTTTGTTAAATCATCATCAAAACAAGAAGGCCAACACTAAATATTGGGAATTGTGCATAAAAAACCAAATAGTTAGATTTGAATCCTCCCACTTCCGTAGATGTGTTTTTTGCATATAAACCTAAAGCCTTACCCCCATGAATTTTTAAACCCATAGAATTTCATGGTTTTACAATGTTTTTTTCCTTATAGACCCAAAGTTTGCCGAATTTATTTTTGAGCCCACATACTTCCAACGAATCTTTTGTCTATAAACTCGTTCACTTCCTAAAATGTTTTTTACCTATGACCCAAAGTCTTACGTTCATTTAATTTTAAACCCACCCATTTCGGAAATCACTCTTAAACCTAAAACACTCCGCAAAATTAATTTCAAGATCATCTGTATTTCAACAATTTGCTATAAGGTGTCAGTTGCTAAATTTTGGGAATTTGCTATAGAGTTTAGTTCTAAGCAATGAAACATGTTATATATTTTTAAACAAAATGCTTAAGCTATTATTTCATAGGTTTTTTTTTCACACTCATGCTACATCATCGCAAACTATAGACGATTTTTTTGCCTAATTTTTGTGCCATGTTTATGAAGTCAAGTAAATGGAATATATAAAATTTCATCCATCTAACTGTTGCATTATATAAATTCAATTTTTTACCAACATTTATTTTTAAACTCATCTACTTCACGAAGTAGTTATTTGTCTATAAACAAAAGTTTACCTCTTCTTAATTTTTTGAACCTAGAAACTTCTAAAAAAAAACTCTTTAGATCTATAATGTTTAATAAAATTAATTTTAAACTCACTTAGTATTTCAACAATTTGGTATATGGTGCAAGTTGTTATGTTTTGGTGTATTTTTTTTTCTTTTTTTTTAAGTGGTTAGTATACAATGCATTTTTAAACCTAATGTCGCGCATTGTAGTGTCAATTTTGCTCATTTGAAACTGGAATAAGTGAACCGACCACTCTTAATGTGACTGTAAAAACTCACGCTCTTTCTAGGTGAAAATAGATAATTTATACTAATATGTTTAATGTATTGTAATTGATAAAGGTTCAACTTTAGTTAGTAAAGTAGTTGATTTTCTGAGTCTGCACTTCAACTTGAGATGTGAGATGAATGAAAGGTTTGAAGGAGTAAGAGTGTTGTCTTTTAGCTAAACATTCTCTAACTTGACATGCCTAGGCCAAACCGAATAAATCAAAGCAAATCGATAGAAACAAATTTAATTCAGTATGGTACGGTTTGACAAAAAAAAAGTCAAGACCGACCGAACCGACCATTCTATTACCCCTAATCATGGCTTTTACTATGAAAAAAAAATCATGAGTTGCTCAGTCTTATCTTACTTGCAAAATAGAATAGAACAAAGGTGAAAAGCATTGTCAAATATCATGCAAAGATTAAACAAACCTATTATTTGAAATATTGCTTCATTTTGTGGTATGTGATATTGGTATTTTTAAGTTCAACCCTTGAGAGCCGAGCACAATTCACTTATAGAGTTTTGACACTTTCTGGATAAGATTGTAAACGTGTGCTAGGATACGTCAATATCATGCAACTCTAATTAGTACTACTTAGAGTAAGAATACATTGTTTGGATAGCTTATGTTTCCATCTACACAAATAATGTATTTAAGCATGTTAATGAGTTGTTATTTTTTTCAAATATATCATAATAAGAGGTATTTGCCCAAAGAATACCATAACTGAGAAATTCTACCAAAAAGACTTCTTTAAGATTCAATATATTGCATATGTGGTTCTTTTTTCTGCACAATTGCCATGATTTAGATGGTTTTGTTGTCATCCTTTAAGATGTAGTTTTAACTAAATGGTCCAAAAATAAATAACCAAACACCCATTTTTCGACCGCATCCAGGCATCTTATAGTTCTTCTTCATTTCAATATCAAATTCTCGAAATGATGTATACATCAGAAGATCATGCTCTTCCTCTATTGACTTTTCATCAATATAACCAAAAATAAACAGTTATCTAGTTTATTATTATCGCCGAATGTATTACCTTATGTTAAGGTGTGCAGTAGTTTTTTTTTAACACTTTCTTGAGATGATTATTTTTTCACCCATGATGTTGTGATTATTAGTAATCCTGATGCATGCCTCCTATCCATGCAAATTATGCATTTGTTTCCCCCCAAAGTTATGTCTGATCACCTTGATTTTTATCTCCTCTGCATGTGTATTTGCGGTGAACGCTCCCTTGTCAATCAAAACTGAATAAGGTTTCCTACACGATAAGAATCTTATTTGTACTTTTAAAAAATTTTGCCACCAAATATTTTCATTTAATTTATATATATGGACGTGCATTGATTTTTTACGGAGTTTGTTTGATTTGTATGCAGTTGGGAGTCTATTGACAGAAGAACTGCAGCGTCGCTGTGAGTGAAACAACAAGGCCAGCCAACGTGAACATATTATGAAGAAAGTTAGGCTTTTGGTCGTAGTTATTGAAACTCTAGAAAAATATAGGAACTTATTGTTTAGCTTCAGTTTTATTTTGATGTAGGCAATTAATTATTGGTTCTCATTTTGGTGTTGAAGTAGAAATTGTACTTCTCGGATATGGCTTGCTATACTTTCTTTTCTTTTGTGTGTCTTTTATGGGTCTTTTCTCTCTCTCTCTCTCTCTCGGGCATAGTTTCTTTATTTTGACAGCTCTAATCGTACATGTAAGAATAATAATCCTTTTAATGTTTGAATATGGGTTCATGGTGTCTTTTGTTTCATGTGAGGTGCGAGCACAGACAAATAATATTAAAATATTTATATCATCATAATATCCTCAACATAGTTCATTTGCAGCTGGAGAAGAATTTGGTTGAATTTGCCTTTCAAGCAAAAAATTTTCAATGTGCATTTCAAACAAGTAAGATTATTAAGTGGGGGCTCTCATGATCCATCACATGGTCAAAGGGGGGCATATTCATGTTAAAGCAAACTGTTACATGATCCACGTCATGTAGGATGACAGAAGAAGAGTTTTCTTTCGAAGATTAATTGATAAAAGTTATTAGAAATCTAGCATAGAGAAGGATTTTTTTTAAATTATTTCAGTACCTGTACATATATACATATATGTATATATGCATATATACGTGAGGAATATGGATATGCTTTTTTTTGGTAACTAATATGGATATGCTTAATACCAAACACTAAATTTGGTGCTTGGTATTGAAAAATGGTTATTTCTCGTTGGCCTATTTAATAGATGAGTTGACTCGTTTAATAATCGAGTGATCAAGTGAAGACCATTTTTTCTCATGCATATAAACATGTTGTCATTGAAGAGGCTACTCAAACACTTTCTACGAATTCAAAGAGGCTCAGATGAAGAGAAAAATGTCAACATGCCAAGGCTAACACACACAAGGAGAGCAACAAAACCGATGGACTAGGCCACCACTGAGACCCTTGAGGCTTAATACATACGCATCAATTCGTATAGAACAAAAGAAAGATGGTTATGGAGTTTGTACTCAGGGATGATAACGGTCAGAATCAGATGGTGAGAGCTGCTATTTGGCAGGAAAATACGACAACACCGTTACAATTTTTTTTTGTCTCAACCTCTAAAATTTATCTCATTCTTAATTTTGGGACAATCACGAGGAAAGAGATAATTTTGAAACACTAATTTATTAAATATCTAACATATGTTAATTGTATTGCAATTTATAATACATCTTAATTATATTATATTATAAAATTCTATTATAACTTACGATAATAAAATATTATATTATATTATCTGATATAACATTATTATATATTATTATTACATATTGGTTAATAATATTTAATATATTATAATATTAGTATTATATTATTATAATATTACTTTATATTATTTAATATATATTTTATTAGTTAGAATAAAAATATTATTATAGTATTTTTATAATATAAAATATTGTATTATAATATAGTGCTTATATATTTAATATAATAATATATTAATTATATTATGCCCATGCAACAGAATTGACCCTCTGAATGCTATCCAGGTATCTGAGTAAGGGTCTAGGGATACCTTCCCCTGCTATGGGACTCCATATCATAGAGCATTGGTACAAAATTTGTAGCAGAGCAAAATCCTCGATATCCCGCTTTTTGGTAGATTCAACAAGCCGTTCAAGTAGCCCTTCAAGATGTTTACGTTGGCTGGTTTCTGATTTTTTTAACTTCTTACCCTCTTCAGAAATGAAAAGCTTAGCGAAGTATTCCAGCCATATTCTGCTTCTTGAGTCCCTATTGTTCCTTATGTCCTCCCCATAAATTGGGAAATAAGTATGGTTGTGGACCCATTGCAAATCAAAACTAACATTTTTCATACCCCCACTTTTTGAATCAGGTATACAAAAGGTGTTATTATCTCTATCGAAAAAGCTCAGCAGCAGCTCAAGGGTGGGCCGATCAGCCGCAGGAGCCCCAAACAAAATGTAGTGCTGAAATATAGAACCGCAGTATGCATCCCTATGCCACTGACGGATCTTCGGGGCAAGGCGCTTCATAAATGCCCAATAAGCCCCGATATTGGCCGTTAACCTTAGTGTTTCTGCTGAGCCTGTTAGAGCAATTTTTTTCCTGCAAAAAATTTTCGAATTTGTACGTTCAATAAGACATATGAAACAATATTAGACCTAGCACTAACGGGAACAAAATAGAGCTAACACGTAATATTATAGAACTAACATTGGACTCATATTAGAACTAACATTGGACTTAAACTAGATCTAACGTTGGTATAAATTTAGAACTAACATTGGACAAAGCCTAGAACTAACAATATTGGGTTAATCTGCATTGTCTCTTCGCAGTATAACATAAGCCTAGAACTAACAATATTGGGTTAATCTGCATTGTCTGTTCGCAGTATAACATAACACTTACTGTTTTTTTGAGGGGGGTTCGTTGGTACGACCAGCCATTGTCGTCCTCCTTTTCTGGTCTCGCCATTGTAATGCCTCCTTTTGCATTTCGATTAGGGTTTTCGTAGCTTCCGTAGCTTCCTCCGTGCTGCCACCCGCAGATGAAGCGCCTTTTCCTTCCAACTCGGCTCGGTGCCCGACCTCGTAGTCGTTACTGGATTTTTCCGTAGACGACGACATTTTTCCGGCGAAAACCCTAGAAACGTTGAAATTCGTACAGAAATTAGGAAGATGAAGAGTTCTTGATGACGGTGCTAGGTGGAAGAGAGAGAAAGAGAGGGAGAGTACTTGTAAAGGTGAGGGGCACATTAACCCAGCTCAGTCCCATCAGAGGGCAAGATAGTAACTTCCGCTGGGCTTTTTCTGAAAAGAGTCAATTCGGGGCCTCGTCGCAAATACTATGCGTATTTGGGGCTATTCCACATGGGGCAAAGTACAGGGGGGCTAGTCACACGAAGTTCCCACTTTTGGGGCCTGGACACATTTTTCCCTAAATTTTATCCCAAATTATTGTAGTTCTAGTTTCAGTTCTATTTGACTAACCCACCCCCTAAATAATATAATATCTATTGGTGAACATTATTTTCAGGGATAATGTATTTGTTTAAAATCCATTTTTTTTAATAATTCAGTCTAGAATCTAACCCAAAATTGTGGAACTATAACCTCTCAACCATCTGAATCATCCGCTGTAGATATGAAAAATAGTAATACTATGCTCCATAACATTAAAATATTCTTCATGTGAACGGAATATTTGAGTTATTTGATATTTCACGGTCCACTTAATGGCTAAAAACACTCTGCACATAGATACTATCCACATTCACTAATACACTATCCACTCCAAATGCAGCCACTACTATCCATTTTATATTATTAGCATCCATAGAACCAAAACCAGACCTCATCGTAGGGCAAGGATTCTCTACGTTTTTAATTGTAGAAAATTTCTACAAATAGTTATGCGAATTAATTATATTGAATCATTCAATGGGTTCAATAAATAAAGGAATTTTTTATAAGGGAATTTTTTAAAAAGACCGATTTTGCTAAATAATTAGCAAAATCGACCATTTTTCTAATTGTTTAGCAAAATCAACATATTTTTTGTCAACAAGCCAAAAAGAGGTCGATTTTAAAAAACGTCCTGCTCAGAACATACAGGACTACTAGTCCCGTATGTTTTTGGCACACAAATGTTATGCCCATTAAACCCACATTGTCGTATGGAATTTTGACATATTGGTGTGCATATGACATGTATATTGTGTTGTGATGTTCTGAATTGATTAAACTTGTTATTATCCGGTGTTTATTTCATCAGATTTGTGTTGTGATGTTGTGTATTTTTTAGATTTGTGTTGTGAAAATTTTGTGAAAATCAATGTGGATTTGTGTATTTTTAGATTTGTGTTGTGAAAATCAATGTATAAAATGTGGATAATATTTTTTGTGAAAATTTTGGTCAAATAATACTGTATATGAAATTAGAGGCATGTGCATGTTTTGTCTCTGCCCAGCAAACCCACGGGACTAGTAATCCCGTGGGTTTGATGGATATAACATTTGGGTGCCCAAAACATACGAGACTATTAGTTCCGTATGTTTTCTAGGTGAACTAATCGGTGATTAGTTCACCTAAAACATACGGGACTACACCGATTAGTTCACCTAAAACATACGGGACTAGTATTCTCGTATAGTCGTATGTTCTGAACAGGGCGTTTTTTTTTAAATTGACCTCTTTTTGACCTGTTGGCAAAAACGAAGTCGCTTATGCTAAATAATTAGCAAAATAGTTGATTTTATTAATTATTTAGCAAAATCGGTCTTTTTAAAAATTTCCTTTTTTTTTTATATAATTTATAATTGACTATTATTTATGGAGTTTACTGAAGACGATATAATTAATAAGTTGTAGATGTGGTGCATGATCGTAACCTTCATCCTAGATTTCGTAGCAAGAACTCATGGACCCTCAACGCCTGACGCGGCATCTACTGCATCGCACGCTGACTCAGCTCCCCACCCTTTTGCACTTTTGGGCCCACCTGGCGCCCGCTAACGTGCGCCCCCACCCCTCTTCGTATTATCCAGCCTCCCCAAAATAGCAAAAAATCCCCAAACTTCTGCCTTTAACAAATAAAAGCCCCCCACTTTATTCAATGAAAACTACAAAGACAGTGAGCCAGTGATGAGAGATACTTGATTTTTGCCCTAAAGTTTCTTTTTTGGGTTTTTTTTCCGATCGGAGATGGAGAGAAGCCGCCGTTTTTTGTTGGATCGGAGCAAAGTTAGGATTTTGCTGTGTGATAATGATGCTAAGAGTTCTCAAGAGATTGTTCGGCTCCTGAGTAATTGCTCGTATCAAGGTACAAGAAAATGCTTTGTTTTGTTTTATTTTTTTTCCTATTTTTTTGTGCTAGTAAAGATCTAATTATAGTAGAATTGGTCGTTTTAGGGTATGGGATGTTCAAATTGTTGTGGCATTTAGTGAGGAAAAGGCATAGAATTTACCCCTAAAATCCCATGTTGGATATTTAAGATATTTACTTGTAGACTTTTTTTCCAGATTTGGGAATGATTCACATCTCTCGATCTGGGCAAAGTCCTTTTTATGTATAGGTTGTATATAAGGGTCTGTTTGTTTGCCTAAAAAAGTGAGAAATCAAAGAAATGGAAAACTATTTCTAAGAAGAATTGTTTTGGGAGTGTTTGGTTTGCTAAAAAAAAGAAGAAAATCAAAGAAATGGAGATGAGATGAGATGAGTTGTCACCTTATTATAGGATGATGTGAGTGATTTTTTTAAGAAAACTTGTTTTGATGCTGTTTGGTTGGCAAAAAAAAATAAAGAAATGAATTATAAGAAACCTATTTCTTGTAATAGGTTATTTTTTTTTTGTTTGGTTCATTCTTAAAAATAAGAAAATAGATGAGATGAGATGAGTTGTCATTATATTATTGGATGATGTGACCCACACTTAAGAAAATTACTTTCTTAGCTTTTTGGAAGGAAATGAGTGGAAATGAAATGTTAATGAGATGAGATGAGTTGTCACAATCTTATTGAATGATGTGAGTGATTTGAAATGATGAGATGAGATGAGTTGAGTAATATTATGGATGAAAATAATATTTTATTAGATGTGGTGGATGAGTTGTTGGATGAAAATAATATTTTATTAGATGTGGTGGATGTGATGGATGAGTTGTTAGATAAAAATAATATTTTATTAGATGTGATGGATGAGTTGTTGGATAAAAATAATATTTTATTAGATGTTGTGGGTGAGTTTTAAGAATGGAAATTGATGAAATTGTACTTTTTGAGTTTTCTTGGTTTTCATTTCTATTTCTTAGTTTTTTAGGAAATAACCAAACAGGCCCTAATCTACAATACTTGTGGAAGGAAATACAAAAGAGTTTATGCATCTATCTAATTCTTCATTAAAAATCAAACCAAATCCGTAACTTAAGATCTTGATGGGGTCTAGAAGAAGATCACACGAGTGACTAAAGGCAGAAGCTTTACATAAAGCTTCATTATTGCTGCGGCCAAACACCAAGCAATAATGAAGAAATTTTCAAGTTGCGACGTAGGAAATGAGGGCGATCAAAGATACTTGTCGTGCAGAAAATAGACAATGGTAATGATTCTACTTAAGGTACTACCTCGATATTAGGGTGCAGAGTTGATTTACTTCTCTCTGACAATTATTAAATATGATTTAATCTCAATACTCAACAAACCGAAAAAAATGACTTGATGCTTGCTTCATTAGTAGTTTTAATCTCTTAATTTGTTCAAATTTATCTGCTTAATTTTATTATTAAACATTTAAAAGCATCAAAACTGAATTAGCCTAGGTAAAATGTGCGCATAAAATCAATATACTCCAAAACCATATTACTACCTGCCAAATTCGTGTCTTTTATGTGCACTGATGCCTTCTCAAGATACTTGTCCTTCTCCTACCAATCATCACCTAAAAGAAAAAAATAAAGGATAGTTTATTAATGAGGAAAATCTGTTTCCGATTTCATCCTGTTATAGTTTTTCTTAACCAGTTACAAAGAATTCCTGAATGCACTGGATAAATACCTGAGTAGTTCAATGTATAGTTTACGAGTCTAGCAATTTAAGGTTCATGAGAATTTAGAGAATCATTTGTGCAACATAAAAATCACATTGACTGTTTTGATAAAATTTTCATGATTTCATAGCTGTAATATTAAGATAGATTAGCTTGAGAAACTTCAGAGGAATAATTATGATTATTCTTTCTCCCAGTTACTTCTGTGAAGACTGCCAGACAGGTGATCGATGTGCTTACTGCTAATGGGCCAGATATTGACATCATCCTTGCTGAAGTTGATCTTCCTGTGGCCAAAGGCTTTAAGATGTTGAAGTACATAAATAGGGACAAGGAGTTGAGGCGCATTCCTATCATTAGTGAGCTCATTATTTTCTAAAACTAATAGCATTTACTTTAACGGCCTCTTATGTTCTCTACCTTAAAACATTGTCTTTTTGTATTTTGAAGTGATGTCTTCTCAAGATGAGGTTTCAGTTGTTGTCAAGTGTTTGCGGCTTGGAGCAGCTGACTATCTTGTGAAGCCGTTACGGATGAATGAGTTGTTGAACTTGTGGACTCACATGTGGAGAAGAAGGCGCATGGTCTTATCTGCACTTAATTTTACATTTTATATGTTTCTTGAAGTATATTATTTATAGGCAGGAAGGATATTTAGAACTTAGCATTTTATGTTATTTTTCCATCATTGCAGCTTGGACTTACAGAGAAGGATGTAGTTGTCCATGACCTGGAGCTGGCAAATTCAGACCCTAGTGATGCCCACACAAATAGCACAATTGCACTGTCTGATGACACAGATGCAAAACCAAGCGAGGGTATTTGTCAGGACCTAAATGTAGCTGATGTTGTAGAGCATCAAGAAAATGAGGTAAAAATGGATTATTAGTGCAATAAGTTGGAATTCAATATTTGTAGAGCTAAGTAATAGTTATGATCGAACGTATTAGGGCAATAAGTTGGAATTCAATCACAAATTCTTATTATTATTCGATACAGTTTAAAGTTCAGTTGAAGCCAGGCTTGTATTTCTATTATGCTTTAACCTGTATGACCCACCTGAGTCTTATAAAGTCATTCCCAGCATGTCATACAAATTCCAGAGCTCTTTCCTAGATCAAATTCATGCTATACGAGATCTCATTATGCTTTGGCTTTTCAGCCTAATATTTCTCCTTTAGAGCTTGCCCAAAAGGCTCGATTTGAGAAGGAAGCCTGTACTGTAGAAGATAGCGATCTTGCAAGTAAGCCTTAGTTTCAAGCATCTATCTCCTTACTGCTTTTCAGAAAAGAGTAATAACATCAGTATCTTATCAGCAGGGAGTTTTTCATGTCCAAAGAAGACTGATCTGAAGGTTGGGGAATCTTCAGCATTTTTAACGTATGTCAAATCAAGTGTACCAACAAGTAATGGTGACTATATCCATGTAAGCCATAATTCTGCTCCATCTGGACCCTTGAGCATCGAAGAAAATCATCTTGTAAGAATTAATACCGAGAGTCACAGCAATAGTTGGCGACAAGAGAGCTACCCCAATAGAAGCGTCTATGTGAGTAATGGCGAGAACATGTGCAATGTGAACAGATTTCCAATGCCAATGAAAATTCCTGTAATATGTGTCTCTTCTTCCAACACTCAGCCACAGTCAAGAAGTGAGGGCCAATGTGATGTTTCTGGTATCCATCCAATGTTCCCTTTCCCTGTCTTTTTGCCCGGAATGATGGACCAAAATATGATGGCCTCATCTACTCAAATGCATAATGCACCAGCCATTATTCCTCAGTATAATGCTCTTCCTCAAATTCCACATGTACCTTTAATGCCCCCTTTTTCGTATCGTCCTGTTGGTATAAATTTGCAGTCAGGTCGTGTAGCAATAATGAATTCATCTGCACATGAAGTTAATTTTGGTAGAACTGAAAGAAGAGTGGCAGCACTTATCAAGTTCAAGCAAAAACGGAAAGACAGATGTTTTGACAAGAAGATTAGGTATATTAACCGAAAGAAGCTCGCTGAGAAAAGACCAAGAGTTCGAGGGCAGTTTGTAAGGCAGGTGAATGGTGTAGATGTTCATCGTAATGATTCTTCTGTAGATTGTGATTCTGAAGAGGAAGATGAGGAGCATGTATCTAGGGATCTTGAACCTGATTCTTCTCCATAACACATTGTTTCTGAATCCTGACATTTCTTATTTGCATACTTACGGTGTTTTCTGCATGTTACTGATGAGTTGCTCTCAGTGGTATTTAAAGAATCTCAGGGACATGAAATAATCCAGTATTTGGTTGAATGTGAAAAGAAAGGCATCCACATGGTATCCTTTTACATCCTTAATGCCAAATATTTAGATGTGCGCTCTATGCAAAGTAAGTAGTTCATTTTTAGATGCATTGTATTCTTCCTGAACATGATTGTTCTCTGATTAGCATACCCTGATAAATAACGATACTTGCTCTTTCTCCAAAATAATTGTTAGAATCTTATCCAAGTCTCTCTCTCTCTCTCCTTTCAATTAATAATATCTTATATGTTGCAGATGAAGCAATGTCTCACTAGTTCCACTCTCACGTTAAGCTGTTAACTCTGCTTAGTTACTTTCATCTTATAACATTCTTAATTAGCAAGTACAGCTTATCCCATCAATTCTCGTAAGCAGATAAGCTCAATATTTCCATTTGTTATCATAATGATGCAACTAATTGGATTCAAAATTGATGCTCTTTGATTTGTTTTGTTTAGCTTAAGTTGTATGCTTACGTGAAACAAACGGAGAAACAGTTCATTATCTAGTCGGCTCCACAAGAACCTGTATTGTAATTTTGTTGAGATAGGAGTAAGCTTGATGTTTTCTCCCATTAACTTCTTTTGAGGGATGTTTTGGAGAATTTCTGCAATCATGGTGTGTTGTTGTCTTATTTCCCTCCTACTGTTGTGCGTATGTGAAGACCGAAAAGAATCAACAGTTTGAGCTGATTTGATAGCAACTATCGTTGTAGAATTGGCTCAAATGTGCATCAGTATTCATATGCAGTATAAGTTGTAGAATATAAGTAGCTTTTGTGGATAAATACATTCATGAGTCTCCCTGTTTCTCTTTTTGTTTCTTGAATGTTCATAAGAGGGCCATGGATTTAGAGATCTAAGGTGTGTGGGGAGGATATTCAGTTCTTTACACGGATGTTACGGTGATGATTCGCTTAATCCATCACAATGTCGCTTTCTAGGAAGAATTTGAAACTAAGTTTCAGAAAATCCGATATAGATGAGTAAAGGACAGGCTTCAATGCTTTCTTTTACCGTTTGCAAGCTGATCATTATTCGTAAGAATAACTGCGATGGATTAAAAAAAATTCTTCTGTCCAAGCAGACTAGAAATTTCTTCTGTCCAAGCAGGCTAGGTTGTGTGATGTTTATTGGTTCTGTGCATGTTGAAGGCAGATGCAACATCAAGAAAATATCTGTGCAATATGTATGAATATTTACTTTTTTTTAGAAGTGTGATAATTTTACCTTTTTTTGAAGTGTGATAATAGCTATTGCATCTATTTGTTTTGAACCTCTCTGATCCATCTTGTAATAATGATAATATGCATTGATAATGGTACTACTGATGATATTTATTTGTTGTGATAAATATTTAATCTGAATGATAATTACCTACCCAGAAACCATATTGTATAGGTTTAGGCGTAAACTGCTATATACAATACAGGGCTAATCTCTGTTTGCGAAACCTCTGCAATTTGTTCTAATCATTACAAAGCCTCGATTACCCTTTCAACTTGTAGTAGATGAATCAAATAATACAAGAGAGAGGGCGGAAGCACGTGTTTATAATGAAAAGCTACTGTCAAATATTGTGAACAGAAGCAGTGCATCCAGCTTAAATATCAGTTTTGTTGGTTAACACCAATAGTGGTATTTGTTTTTGGAATGAATGACTTATATATATATTTGGTTTAAGTCAAGCTTAATCTTAGCTTATCTCTGCTCATTTTTGGATTAAATCAAGCTTAATCTTGGTGCATCAGATCTTGATAATATCTTTCTAAGAAACAGGAGCCAGCCTTGGTACAGCAAATCTTGATAGTATCTTTCTGAGAAGCAGGAGCCAGAACGTCTCTATGCAGGCAAAAGCTACGAGCAACCGGAAGAAATCCACAGCCAGCTTTAGAGCGCAGAATAGGCTGAGAAATAAAGGAAAGAAAACTTCCAAATGAACAGCATATTGCACGCACAACCAGATTCAGAGTTGTCTTTTAGATCAAAATCGGAAAAATTATGAGTTGTTCCCATTTGAAACTATCAAACATGGCAGATGTTCCTCTTATCATATACATAATACACTCAATACAGAATTGGAAGAAACTATACATTTTGTGAAGGAAATGATGTATAAATTATATATTATGTGATTCGTTCCTAGAGTGACTAATACAAATGGGTTTGGGTCTCCAAAACAATTCATGTAACTCCGTTCAAGAATAACTCTGGAATCGGAACAAAATTTGCTCCCGGTACCGTGGCTGTCCTATAAATCACCTATAAATCACGGATTGTTTTCAGCGATCTGACAAGACTGATTCACTCCATGAGAGCATGAAGTCACGAGTAACTGCAGGTAAGTCTGCAACAAAGAATTTAAGATTATCAGGCACTAAAGAGCGAGTGAAATATTATAGACTTGTGCCTATAATTTACAAGATGACTAGACGTGAGATTTAACTAGTTGATATCTAACCTCGTAGAACCTCCAAGGCTACTGAAGGCATATCGATTTGGTCTTCCACCAATCTATACACATCCACAAGCTACAACATGAAACCCAACAACACATGATCAGTGCATGGACCAAATTATATAGTTGTTTCTCATGTACTCTTCTCTTTGGCTTTATGGAAAAGCTAGAATTTTATCAACACATAAAGATTGTTGCAAACCTCTTCAATATGAAGCTTAGAATCTTCAGTTAAAGCCATAATAAGTTGTCGGCGGATGCCAGCGTCAATCAAGAACATCCTTGCTCCATCCTTTATCGTCTCCGTGAGATCCAATTTCTTTTCAAATTGTCGATTTCTTGAAAGTTGCCTGAAGAAGTTGGGGTTTCGTACTTAGAGAAAGTCAAAACATATTAGCCTAGTAGACTGAGTTTATGCAACTTACGTGTTTTTGACTTGCAATGCAGGGTTGCCACTCATCTTGGTCACATTTTGCTTGGCAAGAGTAATGAGATTTTCAAGTCGTTTCCACTGGAATACTCCATCTTTAAATAAAACCTGCAACGATAAGACGATCCACGTAATTTTTTGAAAATTGGCAAGAAATAGTTAGTGCAATGTGTTGCCCTAAGTCTAAGAACTGGATAAGGTTGGGTTAATGGCTCAATATAAATAGGGCTACAAACTCATTAATACAAAAACAAAATTACAACTGCATTTTGTAATTTATGTGCTCTTTTACTAGAAAATTTCCTCCCCTAAATCCATGGACATAGTATGGAAGCACAAGACTTTAGTATATCTAGGTTGAAGCAATACAGATCAATATAGACACTGACGATAACCAAATGAAGAGGTAGAGAGTTGACTTTTCAACTGCTACATACTCTTAAGGATAAAATTTCCTCATGTGGCCACTGGTTCTCATGATGATTCTTCTGAAAAAGTAATTATGTTCCTTACTAGATTGTAAGCATTTTACAATAGAATGAACTTGAGGTGTAGTGACGTAATTATTGCCAAACTCTATATAAAAAAAGAACATCCATGAGCTACAGATTAATTGCCAAGTAAACATCAAGCGTAGGTAAATGGAATACAACTTATGGGGGAAGAAAGGTGAGTAATGGTATCTGCAACTAACTTGAATAAGGCGTTCACGAAGAGCAGGATTAGGGTCCGTAAGTAGACGTTTGGCTACATAAGGATATGCAACCTGCAAAAGTTATGCGCTATTTGAAATGTTTCCAGAAGAAAATTAAAAAAAAAAACAAATTGAAGAAGCAACACCAATTAATTTCAATATGAATTCTCATGATCTGACCCTTCTTTCATTAATCATCAGACATAAAAATAGACACAGAACATAAGAGTGGTTACCTCAAGAAATTTAAAATCTGGCTCTAGTGTGAAACATATGCCCTCCTGAGTCAACAAAGAACGAATGACAAGGGAAAACCTCTCCGGGATACGAATTGGGTATTGGTAAACTAGCTGATTAAACTTTCCTGCAGCATGGTTAGCATGCAAATCATCACTGAAACTTCAAGTATGATGACGATATGGTAGATTAACATGTGCACGCATCTATGAGTATGGATTATAGAGTTAAGGGCTATTAAAATGAAAATTTTTTCAGCGAAACATGTGTGCACATGGAGCACCATATTATACTCCATAAGCATTGCAAGAAGAAGTCTATATGAATTAAAGAATTAAGTGACTGTGAGTGAAAATGGGATTTGGGTAAAAGGAATGATTTATATAAATAATAGTTCTGCATAAATCCAAGTAATAATGATGATGTAACAGAATAAATGACAACAAAGCTAACCTGTAACACTTCTGAAATTAAAGTCAGCCAATCCCTTTCCAACTGAATTTTGCCATATTGCTTCGAGAGCTGGTATAATGGGAGAAACATCTGTTCCACTAGCAAGGAAACCGAGCCTGGTGAAATCATTGGCCATCTCCACATAATCCTCATTCACAGCGTGTACAACAGCATCAATTAGGATTTGTTTATTTTGCTGAAATAAAAGAATCAAGTTAACAGTGAGTCTTTGCATTACAAAGGTGAACATCAATCAATACCTTGGAATCAAGATAGTGCCACTATCTACTAGTTTAGAATTGAATTATGACATTTGTTTGTATTGTTTGTCTAGTAAAATAATGGTGTAGAATGAAATGTAAAAAGGATTTATGTTTGCACGCATACCACCGTGTCCCATGTTCCCCTATATGTGCACAGAGATACCACAAGTCTTGAAAATTTTCAATATTTTTATGATTCATTAATTAAAAGGTTTCAAATCTGCATGGAAGTTTTGTTTCTTTGTAATACCTTTTGAGAATATTGGTTGTAAATTGGGTGGATGTTTGGCTTCAAGCTGGGCTTGTCAGCTGGGTTTTGGTGTTTTATTCCATTCATCTTTGGATGGAAGTTTTGTTTTATAATCTTAGTTTCATAAGTATTTTAAGAAGCTTATAAAAATCGGGTAATCTATGTTTGTGAGGATTGACGGCTCTGGTCCTCTCACCCTCCTCATGGATTGCTTTGTTTTTTTTTTTTAATTCCTTCTCTTAAGTACTTATGGCACTATGATTTATAATCCTTCTTATGCCTATTGTATATATTAGTTTTTATAATACAATTTGAAGTGGCGTATCTTGCCTTATTTTTTACCTCAGAAAAAGAAATTCTGCATAGAAGAATCTCAATGACCAAAACTAATCATATCATGATGTAAGCCTGTGAATCATTCTAATCAGTGAAAAGTTGGATTTTGCATCCATGATAATATATAATATAGATTGATCTCTAGTAAAAATACAATGCTTCCTGATTCAGTGTGAAGCATAAAAAGTTATGGGATGCGACCTCCATAGGTAGATAAATGGTACATTGAGGCAACATGTGATCCAAAGCAAAAACCCAGAACTAGAACCTAGCTAATGATGAGCTATGAAGCAATATTTTGAATCTTTGATTTACAGTCACGGAGTAGTATATAAAACTCCAGATTGTTTGTATTATTAACTTTGGATTGTTAAATTTCGGCAAGGATGAGACTGACAGAATATGGTCTCATTTGCAAACATCAGCCTGCAAATATATAACAAAATGAAAAAGTTATTTCTGAAGGAAGAACAATTTGAATTTAACTGACCTGACTAAGGACTGCCACATTACCAAAATCAACATAAGCAATACGACCATCACGCATTGCAAAAACATTTCCAGGATGGGGATCTCCATGGAACAAACCAAATTCAAGCAACTGTCGCAGAGCAGCGCTCACTCCAACAGTTAAAAAGCCGTCGACATCAATACCAGCTTCCTTGATAGCCTGATGCACAAAAAATAAGTGGGATACTTTTTAATCAAGAATATAGTTCAAATGGCATAAAGATTTTCAAATGTGACCTTATACACTTAAAATAATATGAACATTTAAAATAAAAAATTGTTTTATTTTTAAGTTAGGATTATCAATGATAGCCATCCATCGACAAACCACAAAAAGATATCCCGCTAGTTCCGCTCTCCTCCAAGAGAAAGTGCAAAACTCACGAGCGGCTGCTGCATTCAAATATAACAAGATCAAATATCAAACAATAGACTACCTGAGGGTCAGTGCAGCGGATACCATCAATCCACTCCATTACTAAAACACGCGATCCAGAAAGTTGCTTATAAGCTTTAGGAATCTTGACAGTTGGATCGTTCTTAAAATTCTCCAAGAAGTCCTCCATATTCCGAGCCTCCTAAAAACAATAAAACCATTATAGTTTGAAGGATAGGGATAATAGAATTTTCATGTAATAATTATGGTTGAAGTTAAATGGTGCACAATATTATTCTTATAAGGCACAGTATGGCAACGTAATTGAAATTCTACATCATGGTCATCTTAGAGGTCGTATATTAGCGATATGTCATAGTAGGTATGAGAAATATTAAGCGATTTAATTCATAAACTTAAAGAAATTTTAGTCCTTTGTTCTGAACAGAGAAGGGATGCCATATATGCATTTAATTGGAGAGAGAGGTAGACTCATTTATAGTGTGTTTCAGTCTGCTCAAATTAAAGGTAGAATGTTTAGTTTACAGAAATAATGACTAAGATCAAGCTAACTTACAAGAGTGTAGTCAAGTTCTTCTAAGAGCTTCTCACCAAATTCATCAACAATAAGCTCTGCATTGCAGCCCAGTTTCTGCAGACTTATACCATTCAGAAAGGAAGCCAGAGTGCGGAAAAGGAAAAGGTCCCGGTAAATTATTGGTTCTATTCCAGGCCTTTGCACCTGTACAATAACACGTCAGAATAAAAGAAATTAGATACGTAAAAGTGAAACACCAAGAGAACATGGTTCTCGACACTGAACTTATAAGCATTCATGAAAGTGAAATGACTCGACATTAGCTTCATGTATGCAATTTTTTTTCCAAGTAAAGCAGTTGAATGATCATCATCAACAAGTCATCTTGGTGATAAAGATAAACTAAACGATAGTCTTACACTAGCCACACATACTCAACCTTTATAGCAACATCCTCCCCTGTCTCCCTTAAGGTAGCACGGTACACCTGCCCCAAACTTGCAGCAGCAATCGTTTGTGACGAAATCCTACTAAACATGCTCTCAAGAGGCTGCCCAAGTTCTTCCTCAATGATGGCAAATGCTACCTACATAGCCCACAAATAAAAATGTAAACACCCCTAACAATAACACGTCATAACATCAATCCACCTGCATCTACCTGATTAGGGAACGGAGGAACATCATCCTGCAATATGCAGAGCTCATTCATGTAATCTTCTCTGATAATATCAGGTCTATTCGCCAGAACCTACAGTATTTGCATCCTATCAATACCAAATTTTGCAAGAAAATAAAGGAATAACATGTAAATTTCAAGAAATCCCATTCTTATATATAATGTTTTCGAGAACCTCCTTCATCTAAGATAGTTCAACCAAAAAACTTATTATCTATGTTCATTGATGATACCATGAGTTGTATAATGAAGTTAGGTTTTTAAGATATTTGGTCAGACAGTTTGCATGCAGAATTTTAGGTTAGTCAAAAAAAAAAAAAAAGATTATTAATTTATCCAAAAACTATCTTTCTCTGCCGTCTTACTTTCAACTCGCAAAATACGTAGATTCTGAAATGACATCTGCCCAAGTGCAAATGTCTGCTCAGACATGAAGAAAACTGTGTTGTAAAATTAACAGTTTCATTAACGGCCACAAATTTGCTGCGTGTGTGTGGAAATTTCTATATGAGAGCAGCGCAAAAATGAAGGGGAATTATTGTAATTTACCAATAATAAAACGATATGTGAGGTTTAGTAGATAGTGAACCTGGCCGGCTTTGATGAAAGAGGGACCAAGATCACAGAGAAGGTTCCTAAGCTGCCGAGCTCGAAAAGGGACCACCTCCTGATCCCTCCCAACAAAGCAATCATACATGAGAGTGGACCAATACAGCCCCAAGCTCCAAACAATCTCCACCCCTCTCCCCACCAAAGACAATATCGCGCCTTGCGACTCAAGAACCCTATTCCTAACCTAAGTTGACAATAACAACATCAAGTAAGGGCTAAAAATTGATTGAAACTTTTGAATTGGATAAGGGATGATATTGATTACTGTTTCCGGGGTGTATTTTCTGAAGGGGATGCAGACACCACGCTCGATGTCGAGCTGCTCCATTGCGCTGCTGCTGCTGCTCGATTTCTCGGCGAGGACTCGAGGTGGGGTGATGGTGATTCTGCGAGGAGTGAAGGTTGGATTTTGGAAGCGGGGTTTGCTGGGTTTGACGGACTCAGATGTGAGAGGATTGATCGTGTTGCAGATCATCACTTCCATTTTTGGGGATTTTGAAGGGAATTTAGGGGTTGGGGAATCTAAAATTGAAACTTTGTTTATCACATCTTCGAGCTGAATTGAGGAGTAGGAGGGATAAGGGTGACTGAGTGGTGGCGGCAAAACTGGCGCTTTGCCACGCAATAATGCGCCAAACGAAATCAATCCACGGCGGAGAAGTACCCTACTTTTTACTTGGGGAGCTGCACTTTGATGCACCACAGGATTATCTTCCTTTTCCCTCTCTTAATTTCTTTTATTTTTAGGCTTAATTGCACTTAACTTCCCTATACTTTAACCAATCTTGCACTTAAAATGACTTCTTTTTTTCAAACCGAACGAAAATGTTCCCTAATATATTTAAGTTTTATATATAAATGCCACAAAGTTTCAAAATGATGCACGAGCCCTCTTGTTTATCAATGTTGCATATAGATGTCCCAAAGATTGTAAATGGAGTTACTTACATACCACAAAGTTTTTAAGAGTTTCACTTGAATACCCTATGTTATGTGATGTAGAGTAAAGATAACGTTGCCTATATTTTTTTAGCTATGGGTATTCATCTTCAACACTTAAATACTTCAGCGCGTTTTTTTATTCTGTTTGAAACTATAATGTATTTAAGTGCAAGGTCGGGGAAACTAGTGGCCTTTAAGTACAACTAACCCTATTTTTTAAGGAATTTTAGCTCCAAACGTTGGGGGAACCCCGCTTGTGGTTGTAGGTGACTCAAATAGAGGTGCAAAGGGATCAGAATAGTTGTAATATGCTATTTATTGTATTTATTAGTTCTTGTGCACGCACAATGTACGTGGTTAAATATCAAAATATTTTTTTGTTTATTTTTTACTATAAAATAAGTCAGATTCATTTTGAGTTAAAATCTATAAACATGGTGTTATGGTGTTTCCAATCACCAAAGTGTGACCCTTTAGCAGCAACGGACATGTGTACTTCTGCACGCAATGCCCCAATTAAATTGGCGGCCAAAGACCCGCAAGCATTCCACCTTAGTCGAATCACCTAATGTTGACTCGGATGGCTGAACTTGCCGGATCTCTTGTTAAAGACGATTCGCTACGAGCACATTCGACTAGCTATTCGACACCATTGCGGGGTCGACTCGAAAGACGTTACTTCTCGACTAAGTCAAATGACGACTTCAGCCTCGAGCCTATCCCACTGATAACATGTCACATCACATTTAATGCTCGACAGACGCCATCATGCTTTTAGCCCCGATAGTTTTTATGATTCATCGGATCATGTCAGCACCATCATGCCTCCAATCGCTTCTCATTTAATGCAGAAGTTCTTGTTGGACCCTAGAGGGGGGGTGATTAGGGTCTTAAGTCTAATAAAAGTGCAATAAAAATTAAGACAAGCAACAAACCACAAAATGAACAACAGTAGAAATAGAGATAGAGTTAGGAATCGTTATCCTTGTGACGCGTGATGTGTTAACGAGGTTCGGTCCGCTGACCTACGTCCCCGCTCCCCACTCTCGAGGAGAAATCCACTATACAACCCGGTTTGAAAGCCGAAACTTCTTCTATACAACGATCTCCTCACGATCTCACAACTACACGGTTGATCTCCACTAGATCATACTCCCACACAATTGATCTTCACAAGATCAAGCTCTCAAACAGTAGCAATGGTGTAAAAGCTCTCTCTTTACAAGTCCCTATGGTAAAGAGAAAGATTAAACTAAAGCTGGGATGCGAACTTGAGAAAACACAGAAAACATGTTTTAAAAATTTTGGCTCTCAATAAACAAAATCTCTGGTTTTTCAAAAGCTTGGGGACTCTTGAGGAAGAAGGAGTGTATGAGTTTAAATAGGAGAAACCAGCTGTTTAAACCCATACCCTAATCCCCTTAATCCAGGAAAATAATCGGCGCTGAGATTGTGTACAATCGGCGTTGAGAATTGTACCAGAAGACCGTTTGAATTAAGCGGCGGTCGACCGTGCTATTTTCGCGGTCGACCGCGAGACAGCTCAGAAACTGAGAAAAGGTCCAGAGACTTCTGCGGTCGATCGTGGAAATCTCGAGCTCACGGTGGACCGCGGTGGTCGACCGTGAAAGTTTCTGCTGCCCACTGACGAATGAGCTCAAGCGCCGTCGATCGCGAACTGATACATACATAAACACTGTTTTTGACTTCCTTAAAAATCTGTAAAATATTCATTTGACTTCTAAAAATTGTGAAACTTTGTAAAATGTTTTTATCACTAATAACAAATTGTTTGGAAAAAGAATTTTGCGAATAGGTCCTCATACTTGTGAAAAATAGTATTTTGTGAAAACGCTCAAAACTATAAGTATGAAAACGTGTGTGTGATATCCCAATAGCTTTAATTTAAATCTAAACTACTTGCCTACATTTTAGCACTAGAGAGAAAATAAAAATTAGCTAATATCCTCACGTAGAATATAATTCTTTGAGTCTTGATATAGCTTGAGTTGGATGAAGATTCTTATTGCATTTTGTGTTCTTGAATGAACGTTGCTTCATCACTATGCCTCCTCCTCCTTTGGATATCATCATTGTAGCACATATTCCATCCAATCCTCCATACATGGCACTAACAAGCTTGATATACGTATTCACTAGTTCTTGTGCACGCACAATGTACGTGGTTAAATATCAAAATATTTTTTTGTTTATTTTTTACTATAAAATAAGTCAGATTCATTTTGAGTTAAAATCTATAAACATGGTGTTATGGTGTTTCCAATCACCAAAGTGTGACCCTTTAGCAGCAACGGACATGTGTACTTCTGCACGCAATGCCCCAATTAAATTGGCGGCCAAAGACCCGCAAGCATTCCACCTTAGTCGAATCACCTAATGTTGACTCGGATGGAATATGTGTTCTTGAATGAACGTTGCTTGATATACTTGTGAATAGGTCCTCATACTTGTGAAAAATAGTATTTTGTAAAAACGCTCAAAACTATAAATATGAAAACGTGTGTGTGATATCCCAATAGCTTCAATTTAAATCTAAACTACTTGCCTACATTTTAGCATTAGAGAGAAAATAAAAACTAGCTAATATCCTCACGTTGAATACAATTCTTTGAGTCTTGATATAGCTTGAGTTGAATGAAACTTCTTATTGCATTTTGTGTTCTTGAATGAACGTTGCTTCATCACTATGCCTCCCCCTCCTTTGGATATCATCGTTGTAGCACATATTCCATCCAATCCTCCATATATGGCACTAACAAGCTTGATATACGTATTCACTATATTTTCACTCAACAAGCCATTAGTACCGATAATGGTGGTTGTAAAACATCATCAAAACATAAGGGCTAATAATCTTCCCCTTTTTTATGATGATAACCAACCATTATATAAGATCAAAATAAATATGGCATAGATAGAAGCTCCCCCTATCTATGAGCTCCCCCTCTCTATGAGCTCCTCCTTACTATGTGCACAAATGAGGAGATTTCTCTCCCCCTTTGTCACCATCAAAATGGGGTAAAAAAATAAACAAAAATGTATGTGAAATGCAACTAAACAAGCAAGCAAATAGAACTTTCACATAGTGCAAAAGGCCAAACCATTTCTTATGCGACAAAAATCATCTTCACCAAGAGGCTTGGTAAATATATCCGCTAATTGAGTTGCTTTGGCGCAGTCTAAGCCCCTAGCGAAGAGGACCAAAGCAAATGTGAGCCTGAAGCAGTTCGCATCATATTTGTTCAGGAATCTGGAGAGCCATTCTGGTGAAGCTATTTTTGAACTGGCACCGCTGACTCCTTCAGAGGTTAATGAGCTGCTGAAGAAGACTGATGCCCGTTCCTATATCAATAGCAGTCCTGAGAGCGGCTTTCCTGCAGGGACCAAGTTCAGATCATTTTTATTCCATGCGACTGCGCCGATTCATCCGATGACCCTCCTTGCCGGTTATCTCACCATCTGGTTGAAGAAATGTGTGGTCCCGTATCAGTCTGGTGATGCTCTGCGACTGGAAGTGATCTATCCTGCAGTTCAGCTTGCCTACAAGAAGGAACTTTCGCTTCTTCCGGTGATGGTTTGTGTGTTAAATACGTTAAGCTCAAATATCTATACACACACATTATATTGGTTTTCATATATATATATAGTGATATATATATATATACATATGCTTTTGGTTTTATAGTTTTCGGACTTATATATGAAACAAATGCATAGAATTGGAAAATACTATTTTGTTTCATGTTTATATGTATATATATGATTTCATCTTTAACAAGCTTATATTTAATGAAATCATATTTAGTGTTTTGAATATATTGCATAGAATATGCAATTTTATGAAAATATTGTATTTCTAGGTTATAGACTTCATAACAACATGTTATATCTTTTATCAAGTCTATACAATCATTTCATAAGGTTTCAAAATGTTGTTTAAGTCAAAATATCAAAATATCAATTTTCAGGTTTTCATGTTTTGGACTATTTTGTAAAATGATGATATTTTTCATTTGGGAAGTCCTTTTTCGAAACCAGTCATTGTAGCATGTTTATTATCATGTCTACAATCATTTCCCAAAGTTTTACATTTTTTGGAATTTATTTGATATTTTTAAACAGCATTTTAAAATCAGCTATACAGATTTTCATGTATCAGATTTCGGTCGACCGTACCGGTCGACCGAACCTGAGGTCAAAAGTTCACTGGGCGGGCTCATGGAGGTCTGGTGGACGGTCTTCGTGCATGGTTGTGGACCGTGACTGGCTGCACTGGTGCTAGGTTCAGTCTCCCGGGTACTGAGCGGCAGTTAAACCTCACTTTCTTGAGCTGCAGGTGGTTGCTAGCAGCTAATAAGACTATCCGAGTGATTTTTCTGCTTCCAACGGCTAGTTTTTTGACCGTTGCCTTGGGGCTGTTTTGTCTTTTGCTCTGGTTTCTTGGCTGAGTTGTGAGAGGGTATAAATACCCCATTGTCTTCAACTCTCAAGCAAAAAGAGAATGGTTTAAAAAGTTTTAACAAGGGTTTAAACTTGTTTAGTGTTTGTTTAAATTTGTTTTAAGAAGCTTTTAAGCATTTGAGTGTTTCGGTTTTGTGATTCAATTCTACAAGAGCTTGTGGAGATCATCTATTGGTGTTTGGGCATCCAACTCTTCTCCCTCCACTCTTGATATATTGAGAAGTTTTCTAAA